GGTCCACATCCAGGATCTGAACCGCTGAACTCCAGGCTACCATCAAAGTAGAGCACGCAAACTTAACCACATACCACCTGGCCAGACAGTTTCTACTTTAAAAATGAGCAAACTTGGCTCATAAAAGTAACGCACTAAAACACATAACAAAAATGCATTCATTTAGACACACTAATGTGTGAGTTAAACATTTGCTTGGTCTAACTACATAACTTTCACATTATTATTGATCCATAAAAATTATTTTTGCTAGTCAAATAATAACTTTTAATTACTGTTGCTACTATTTATTGAATATCTGTTATGGGCTAGGTACTGTGCACATACACAGAGAATTAAGCCAGAGAGGGAATGAATATAAATATAATGTATGTCTGTAGACATACATATAGATATAGACAGAGAAAAGGTTTATTTACTGTAGCTTTCTCTTGGTGGTTTTCTGTATGTATGTATGTATGTCTATGTATATGTGTATGTGTTTATGTAATATTAAATTGCTGGATATTTAGAGTTGACTGCAGTTATTTCATTACTTCCAGAGGGATTCATCAGGAACACGCTTAGGACTAAAAAGTTACACAATAAGAGGAAAAGAGCTACTGTAATACTAGTAGTTCTTTTGTGTTTTGCTTCCTTGCATTTGAATGGTTGGCCATCATAGTCAGCTAGCCGCGGTTTTTTTTTCTTTTTCCCTTATGCAGCTGTAGGTTTCCTAAAATTTAAGGCTTCTGAGAGAATGTTCTAGTAGTATCTCATTTGTGCTTTATTCTTCTTACATAGCAGTACTAACATTAGACAGTTTTGGAGAGCTAAGTTGGAAACATTTAGCAAGAGTAGGAAGAAATAAAGAGAGACAAATCTCTCCTTAAATTTCTTTTGACTTCTCCTCCATCTCCACCGCCCCAGTAAAATCCGCATTGCTCTCACCTTGCTCACTACTCTTCCTTGTATAAGTTCTATCTATCTAGCATAGGAGTTGGCAGACTACAAGCTTGTGAGCCAGGTCTGTTTATTGAAACATAGCCACATTCATTCATTTATGTATTTTCTATGATTGCTTTCCTGGGACAACAGCAGAGTTAAGTAGTTGCAACAGAGACCTTATGGCCTGCAAAATCTAAAATACTGTCTGGAACTTTACAGAAAAAGTTTTCAGGCTCCTGATCCATCAGGTAAAGAAGAAACCAGAGATTTCTCATTTCCTTTACCGGGGGAACTTTAACCTCATATTTCAAGTTAGAGTTTTCCATAGGAACACTGTAGCAAATAAGCCTTACATAGTACTTCGTGTCTAAAATGGCCCTAATACTATTTTGAATTGGTCTGGGAAGTAACATAGTTTCTGGGAGGAAGCATATTCTGTCTTTCAGCAAATATATTATGAAGAAACTTTGAAACTCTTATAGTTGAGGATTCCTGATAATTAGTGAAAGGGAAAGAGGTGAGGAGGGGAAGGAAGGAGAAAGACTGGTTCATTTTGATTTGGATTGACAATGAGAACATCATTATAGTGTGTTAAGTTCGCTTTATATCATTACTCATTAGGCAATAATGTTGAAATAATGTTGAAATAATGTTGGCTTCTCACCATCTGGCAATTTTCTAATTGTGCGCATGAGTTTTTTGTTGTTTTTGCTGATTATCACTTTTCTTCCACTTGTATGTAAGTTTCATTAAAGAAGGATCTGTCTTGCTCATTGGTGTATTACCAGTACCTAAAATAGTACTTGACAATAATAAGTGTTTAATTAATACTTGTTGAAAGAATGAACTCAGACATGAGATTTTATTTTTGTAACAATATTGCAGTTTTTCAAAAATGTCTGCTGTCAATTTGTACCTAGAAAATAGGCAATAATTAGAAATCTGCAAACTTTTGTGAAGAATGTATCTTTTCATGCTAATTGTCTTAATCGTTAGTCCTATCAGATTGTTACATAGTATTAACTGTCTTCACTTAAGTGAAACTTTTTGTTTGATGCCTGACAACCTAATTATAACTTGATGTAGAATAGTTAGATTATATATTTCCATTAGATGAATTTCACACTGGCTTTAATGATCCTTAACTGACTTTGCAAATACTGTAGGTTCTATATTACCTTAAGGGTTGTTATAAAATTTTTATAAAGTTCTCAGATATAGTTAAATCATTTTAATACCCTTGGCTTATTTGTAATTTTCTTCCTTAATCTTTCCAAACAGATACCATTTATTGTAACAAAAAGTATTACTAAATACTAATGGTGACCTATTCGTAGTTTCTTGCAATTCTTTTTAATGAGATCTGATCCCACGCAATGATGAGCTGTTTTCATTTCACTTCTAAGATAACTTCAAAGAGTCACTAATTATGAAGACATATCCTAAACCTCTTAAAATTAGATTGAATCTCATTGAAGTTAAAAAAAAAATCCAGAATTTATAGGAGATGCTCTAAAGTCAAATGAAGGATCTCAGTATGTAGCAATTTCAGAGTCATTGGAAATTGCTGGGATATATAGTATGCTTAGTGGTTTGACACTAACCAGTTTTTGCTTGTGATGGCCAATACCCAGAATAACAGAATGGAGCAAAGTAGGCAAATGCAAGCTAAATGTAAAATAGGACAATTACAAAGTTTCATTTGCTGAGGAAAACACTGATTCAAAACAAATAGTTCCTTAGTTTTGTGTTAACAGATAAAAATCTCAAAGGCAGTCATAATGACTCTTAAACTAAACTATCAACAATGTGATATTGTTTTTTTTTCTTTAGATTGTGCTTTTGTTTGTTTAAAACAAATAGGATGCTGAATATATTAATAGAAAAATAGCTGGTAGCAACTTAAGGAAATTGACACTCTATTCCATGGGTTGGCAAACTTCTAACCACAGGGCTGTATCTGGCTGTGGCCCATTTTTCTAAAGTAAGTGAGTTAAGAATGATTTTTATATTTTTAAAGCATTTTTTTGTTTCAGTGTTTTTGGGGGGGGGGGGTGGTGAGGAAGATTGGTCCTGAGCTAAATCTGTTCCCAGTCCTCCTCTTTTTGCTTGAGGAAGATTGTCTCTGAGCAAACATCAGTTCCAATCTTCCTTTATTTTGTATGTGAGATGCCGCCACAGCATGGCTTGAGATGAGCAGTGTGTATATTCATGCCTGGGATCCAAACCCGCGAACCCTGGGCCACTGAAGTGGAGCATGTGAACTTAACCCCTATGGCACCGGGCCAGCCCCATCTTTCTGTACTTTAAAGATGTCACACCATACTCTTCTCATTTGCCTAGTTTCCCACGAGAAATCTGCTGTCATCCATTTTTTTCTTGTTCCTCTGTATGTAACTTGTCCTTTTTATCTGGTTGCTTTTAAGATTTTCTCTACGGGTGGTTTTGAGCAATTTGATTGTGATGTGACTTGGTCTAATTTTCTTCATGTTTCTTGTGGTTGGGATTGTTGAGCTTCTTGGATTTATTGGTTTATTTTCATCAAATTTGGAAAGTTTTCATCCGTTATTTCTTCACATATTTTTTCTATCCCTCATTTCTTTCCTTTGACGACTGCAATTACACATGTTGTAATTGTGTTAGGCTGCTTGAAGTCCCACAGTTCACTGATGCTCTTTTCATTTATTTATATTTTGTCTCTTTTTATTATATTTTGGATAGTTTCTATTGCTTTGTCTTCAGGTTGACAATTCTTATCTGTAAATAAATATAGATAAATCTATAAATAAATACCTTCTATAAAAAGTATTATGCTGTTATTCCCATCAAATGTATTTTAATCTGAGACATTGTAGTTTACATCTCCAGAAATTCAATTTGAGTGCTTTTTACACCTTTCATGCCTCTCTCTAAGGTTTTTAACTTACAGACTATGGTTATAAAACTGTTTTAATGTGCTTTTCTGCTAGTTCTAATATCTGTGTCAATTCTGGGTCATTTTCAATTAATCAATTTTTCTGCTCATCATAGGTCATGTTTTCCTGCTTCTTTACATGCCTGATAAATTTTGACTGGATACTAAACTTTGTGAATTTTGCCTCATTATGTGCTTCATATTTTTTCTGTTCTTAGAAATCTTCTTGAGCTTTGGTCTGAGACACACTTTAGTTACTTAGTTTAATTCTTTCAAGACTTGTTTTGAAGATTTGTTAGGTGATATCAAAGAAATATTTAGTCTATATCTGATTGTTTCCCACTACTGAGCCAAGACTTCTCTGAATACTCTAACCACTGCCCCATGAACTACGAAGTTTTTCAATCTGGGTTTTAGGAACAAGCACTGCTCCCTGTCCTGTGTGAAAACAGGGTACTCTTGCCTTTAATTCTTTTGAGTGACAATGTTCTCACACACATGCACCAATCATTGCTATACTGATTACCTGAGGGATCCCTTTGCGGATCTTGAGAGTTCTCTCTCTGCAATGCTCTCTTCTCTAATAACACTTCTGGTCTCCTTGGACTCTGACCTCCATCTCTTCAACTCAAGACAGTTTGCCTGGTTTTCTCGTCTCAGCACCAAGGCCTGGAAACTCTTTTAAGTCAGTAAGCTGGGGCAGTTGTAGGACATGCTTGTTTATTTCTCATCTCTCAGGATCATTGTTCTTTATTTCCTGATGTCCAGTGTCTTGAAAACTATAGTTTCATATATTTTGTCCAGTTTTTTGGTTGATCCAAATAGGAAAATATTTTTGGTGCCTGTTACTACCTTGTAGCCAGACGTGAAAGTTGGGATTGGAATTTAAGATGCAGTGGTCAAATAATTCCAGGTGATGATACAGTTGGACCATAGATATGAGTGGAGTAGACATGTGTAGGTCATTGAATGAATGATCCACATGGCCTTTGAAGTCACCTGGGTAGATGGATTTGAGATAGAGAGTAAGACTTTAAATAGAAAGTAAGACTTTAAACCAAGAGCCAAAGTTATAAAGTTTTAATACTGCATGCTTTATGTGTTGGTTAGGAAAATGCTCTTTTAAAATTATGTTAAATTGTCTTATCTTTTCTTCTAGAACCTTCTGATAACTTAAGGGAGATTCTCCAAAATGTGGCCAAATTGCAAGGAGTATCAAATATGAGAAAGCTAGGCCATCTGAATAACTTTACTAAGGTAAGTAACTTGAATGTTTATGAATATTATCATTGAAAATTCTTTGCTCCTTATCATACTTATTAGATGCTTCTTAACCATCATTAACAAGAAATTCTTGAGTATTCATTCAGTACCAGTGCTTTTCTCTGCTGCTTCTTAGGGATTTTGTCATGTATTTTTAAATTAAAAAGTATATTTGAATAATGGAAGTATAATATGTTTGTTGTAGAAAATTTGGTAGGTTCAGAAAAGAATAAAGAAAAAAAATCACTGAGAAGTCCATAATCTAGTCCTCACTGTTATTCACATAATGATGTATTTCTTTTGCCTTTTTATGCTCATTTTAATGTGATAATGTATAATACATGTTTATGCATGTTACACGTGTGTTGCATTTCATAGGCATAACCATAATTCCCAGAGAAGTATTAGGCTTTTCTCTCTCTTTCCCTGGTGCTCTATTGCCATTATCTGGATCTCAATTAGAGCCCAAGATAAACATAGGAGCCCTCGTCCCAAATAAATATTGACTTGATCTCTATTAGCAGCCAAGAATTCCCGAGTTTGATAGATGGGTTGGTATGTTTTTGAGCCTGGTAATGTTGGACAGCCAACTCTTGGAAACACTAAAATGGCTGTTATTTGAGGTGATGCCATAAATAGAAAACAGAATGGCTCCTTTGGGAAAAATTTTTTTTCCCTTTTAAATTTACTAAATAAAAATTGTTCTGCTACATTTTAAATGTAGGAATAATTGTATGTTTTCACCTCTTACTTCTCAAAGTGTGATCCACAGATGAGTAGCTTGGGCATCACCTTAAGATTGTTTGAAATGTCCTATTTTTGGCCCCACCGCAGATCTCTGAATCAGAATCTACATTTTAATAAAGATTCTCAGGTGAATTTGTGTGTACATTAAAATTTGAATGGTACTGTTTTAATCCTTCCAAAATGTTGAATTCTGTGCTGTCTAGTAATTGGACTGTGGCTTGGATTCGATTATATTTCACAGAAATAAAAGGGGAAGAGAATGTAGTCACCATGTAACAAAGTTGTCTTTTCTGTATGTGTTGTGCAATAAATATAAAATAGGTTAGATGTTTGTTTCATGGTTAGGAAAGCAAGCACATATGCATTTATTTTTCCTTAGTGAACTTTTGAAATATTCTGGCATTTATTTTTATATGACAGATGAGGAAATTATTTTATATGAGGATGAGAAAGTGAGTTTTTTAAAACAACTTTCAAAAACATTGAATAGGTCCTTGAGAAGGGGTTTTCAAAAATATCCCTATGTATGTTTTCATTTTTATGAATATAACAAAAATCTTCAGATGCTTTTTTTCAATGTGCTAGTCAGATAATGTCAAGTCTTTGAGACCCAAAGTTTTTCCAAGGTTGCAAATTACATCTCCTGGTTTCCTGCCTTCTGTTTAACTTCTCAGTTTTATCTCATCATTCTTGACTCTAGTAAGTCTTACCACTCACTGGCCTAGATTTAACTGTTAAAAACAATTCAGTAGAGGTTTATGTCCTGTTTGAACTCCTGGTTCCCATCATAATCAGGTTGATAGCTAAATATGTAGTTCCACATCTTCTGAAAGTTGGGGATGGATGTAAGAATGGCAGTGATTTCTGTTATTTTGCTCTGGCACCAGTATGGCTCCTAAAGCAATCTTAAAAATCGAGAGCAGCACTGTCTAGTAGAAACATAATGTGAGCCACGTATGTAATTTGAAATTTTCCAGTAGCTACACTGAAAAGTAAAAGGAAACGTGAAGTTATTTTTAGTAATATATTTTCTTTAATCTAGTTTATCCAAATTATTATCATTTGGTGTAATTAATATAAAATATTAATGGGATATTTAACATTTTTTCTTACTAAATCTTGAAATCAAGTATGTATATTACACTTATAGCACATCTCAATTCAGACTAGCCGCGTTTCCAGTGCTCATAGCCACTTATGGCTAGTAGCTACCAACCATAGTGGACAGTGTGCATACAGAACTTTTTCGAATAGGAATGTTTTGAACATCTATTTCTAGGACTCTGTTGGATGCCTTTCTTTCTCCCTTCTCTATTCCCCATTTATTTCTATCTAGATCCTAGGCTCTCTTGGGTTAGGGTCCGTTCCCCCCCCCTCTTTTTCCCTCCTCCATTTTCTTGTTTTTCTGTCTTTGTTTTGATTTTTTCCCACAGTATTTGACTAAGTTGTTCCTCCAGTTGGTCTGTCCTTGATTTGTGCTCTCTCACTCTCTTCTCCCCTTTCTCCTTCCCTCCACTCTCTTCTTCTTCTCCCCTCTCTACTTCTTCCACCTTCTCCCCTTCATCTCCTCTCCTTCACCCTTCCCTACTCTCTTCCTGGTCTCTCCTTCCCTCATTCCTTCCTCCTTACCCATTCCCTCCTTTCCCCCATAGTACTGCTGTAGAGTATAGAATGATTATCTCTGTAGTGAAGGCCCTAGGCTTTTGGGCTTTTTGTACTCATGTTTGTATTTTTGTTTTGCCATATCTTTTCTTTATAATTATCACACTTCCCTCTGGCCATGGTGACAACTTATAGCAGCCCTTTTATTTGCTGCTTTAAATTATTTATGAATTTAAAAACTAGATAACCAAGCTTACTAGAATTTGTCTACAATATGAGGGACTAAACCTTGAGTCAGGGTCTGAGGGGCTATCCCATTGGTGACATCCATGAATGTTGGACGTAATAGAATCTATTTTGGCTGCCTGGTAATGTAATAGGAAAAGCATGAGCTTTAGATCAAATAGATGGGGTAGTGCCTTTCTACCCGGGATTTGTTTTTTGTTTTCTTTTGTATTTTTTGCTAGTTTTCTAGGTTCGGGCTGACTCTGTAGCTTGAGTTGCAGATTGGTAAGCTGTTACTGTAACAGGGTTTTTCAGCCTCTGCAATATTGACATATTGGGCCGGATAATTATTTGTTTTGGGAGGCTGTCTTGTTCATTGTGGGGCGTTTAGCAGTGTCCCTGGCCTATACCCACTAGATGCCAGTAGCACTGCTTGTGACAAGCAAAAATGTCTCTAGACATTGCCAGATATTTACTGGGGGACAGAGTCGTCCCTGATTAAGAACTGCTGCTGTGAATAAATGTCTGTGGATTTTATTATAAAATTTCTCCAAATGCCTAGCACAAAATAATTGCTTACTGAATTTAATAATAATATAATGTGTCTTTGAATTCCATTTTGTTGGAGAGCTAGGTTAATAAACCTAGCCAGTATTCCTATAAAATCTGAAGTTCATTTCCTTATAAAATAAAACTTAGAAATTCTCAGAAATCTCTAAGAATAGCTCTATAGAATAAGAAATCAAGAAAAATAATTATGATGTCAGGAGAGTAGTTAGTTAGTTAGACTAGTTAGGAGGGAGGTAGTCACTCTTCTCTGTGTTCCCATAACAGGTTTTCTACGTGTATACTAAATTTTTCTATTCTTTTGTTATTATTATTTTTTGTGGGTTATTATCTTATTAAACTGAGTTTCTTAAACACAAGAAATATGTAGTGTTTATTTTCCTGCCTTTATATTCCTCTCTACCTCAAAGCCTGGCATGTAAGTTGTTTAATTAAAGGTATTATATTACGTTTGGAAGATTTTGCATTTTAAATATGAGTTTTTGTTGTACTAGCATTTGTTTTGTTATTATATATAAGTCCAGCTGTTAGGATTAAGTAAATTTAGTAGATCAGTGGGGCTGAAATATTGTATAGGGTGGACTTCATCTCCAGAATTAAACCTCCTTTTAAGATGTGAAGAGAGGGTGCTAGTGATGTGATCTTATAACCATGTGAATGTCACACACCCATACTTGCTTTCTGACATCATTTCACTAGATAAAGTAATGTGTATAACAGACTGCTGATGAATATAATCTTAGTCTACTATTTTTAAAACTGACAACATGCTCATAATCTAAATACCGGTTTTTAAAAGATGAAAATATTTAAACTTTTACATTATAAAAATTCTCTTTTCCTGTATTTAGTTTCATATATTTAAGTTAAAAGCTCCAAAGGAATCTTTATTTTGTTGTTTTAAAAACTTCAAAAATAGTATAAGCTTAAATATAAAAAATTAAAATGATATGGAACAATATTTGATAAGAAGTGAAAGTCCTCACTCACATACTCTTCCTGTACACCTACCCACTGTGACAAAAATGCCATTCTCCAGAGGTAACCGCTAGTATTCATCCTTCTCTGGTATAATTATAAATATGTGTGTGTGTGTGTGCGCATACATTTGTATATTTCACTGAGTTGTGAGAATTAAATGAGCTAAACAAAAGGAAGTGTTTAATATTTACCATTGTTATATATGTACACACAAAGGTTTTTTTTAATGAGATATATTGGTTTATAGTTTGTGTTTTTCCACTTCCAGTGTATCATAGAATCCTTTCCTTTTCTACAAATGTAGATCACCTGTTTTTTTAGAGCTGCATACATTTATGTGGACAGATGTATGTGTGTGTGTATATCCATACATACACATATGTATATGTATACAAATGTACATACATATACATATATATGCATATATACATATACTATAATTTATTTAATCATGCTACCATTAAAAAATAGAACTTTTTTCTACTTCTTTTTGCTATTTTAAATAATGCATTAGTAACACTCTTGTGTACTTTTTTGTGCAGGATAGAATTTTAGAAGTGTGATTACTTAGCCAAGAGCATTTGTACTTTTTGTTTTAAAATACTTTTAAAATATTATAAATATATGAATATTGAAAACAACAACTAAATAAAGTACTTCTAAATTGCCCTCTCAAAAGACCATGCTGTGGAATTCTAATCTGTGATGGTTTTTTTTAAAGTGTAGGTTTTTCTGTTTGTTACTTATTTAGGACAACTATTCATTTAACCTTCAGAGCAGTATGAGTAAAATTGGAATAGCATTTAACTGCCCAGTGTTAACTGATTATTTTATTTCTAAAAACCTAATAATTTTAATAAGCATCTCAGACA